CCGATGCTCTGCTACGGCGAAAAACATCCACCCAACGTGAATGGTTAGGAGGTTTTAAGCCTCATGCCCATGAGTAGCAAAAGATAGGATCATACCTTGACGATTTATAACATTCAGTTCCCCAATTCATTGTTGCTTGCGCGTGATGTTCATAAGTGTAACTCTCATCTGAAACATATGAAACATAGACTACGATAGGGAGAAAGAACAGCATCAATAGAAATGTTTTCCATATGGTTTGTCCCAACAGTCACGGCTCCATCGGAGCTACAGAGGGAGTAGGAATATATGGACTTGATCGGGCATCTTCTCTAGCATGAAGCGCCACACAATCAAATTCTATAGGACATGTCAGACCAGATACAACCACCACTGAAAGGCCTTTCGGCAAGTGGCTCCGATGCTCTGCTACGGCGAAAAACGTCCACCCCACGTGAATGGTTAGGAGGTTTTAAGCCTCATGTCCACACCGACATACTCAATAGAAGCTCACCTTTTCATCTTCTGCCTAGCCTGGTCTCAGACGTATAACTCCACGGCTAGATTCCCGGAGCCATTTTCAGGAGGCCAAATGAGGCAGTGATCCTAAAATATACTTTCGTTGCGACGAGCTAGACCAAAAGCAATTGAGACAATTTCAAGTCAAATCACAAACTCACCATGAAACCATATGGTGGAAACGACAAATCGTTCCGCCGGTAATGGCATCCTCAAATGATAACCATCTCAAGAATTTTAGGCCAACTGTGACGCGAAAACTCCGTGATTGCAGTGTAGGTCCTGCAGCGCGTAACGGTATCCGCGAAATTCAAAGCGATCATTTTTAAATTTTGGCGCGGATTCGATTCTGGAATCTTCTCAACATAATTTTTTTTTGAAACATTATCAGCCTCTTTTCTTTCTGAGATGTTTCTGCTTATGAACTAGATTTATTTACCATTTTATCATTTATTTATTTGGTAGCGTCTGAAAAGCATCCATTTCGAACCTTTTTCTCAAACCTTCGAGGAGAAGATATGTTCCTTTTTGGAAGTAACCGAAAGAGGAATTATGTCGAGATTGAAACTATGAAAACCTGCATAGGGATGTAGAATAATGTCCAAAGTTTTTCAAACTATGACTCCTCCATAATTCTATCCGTACTTCACCATAAGAGTGTACAGTGTAGAGCAATTTTTCTATGAAGAGTATCTTATGCAATTTGTTCAGCTCAATTTCGACTTGTGGGCAAGACTGCAATTGAGCTTTTGTGATAACTGAATTGACAAAGTCTCTCTCATTGTTGGAGAACCGAGGAATTGTTAATTCTGTTACTGGGATGGAATAGGTATCGACCGTTTTGCGTTCTTTCTCATCCTCGGTTGGTTGCATTCATACTACCGACCACTATGCAAGCGTCAGCGTTTACAAGCTAAATGCAGCTTTTCTTTTATTATGAAAAACAACTGAGAAATTTAAGTATTTTAACATTTGCAAACATCAAGGGTTTGGTGCTTTCGAAGCAGTTTTCTATTCTAATGGTGACGTATTTTTAGCTCCATTTTGCTGCAAAAGTAATGTTCATCTCTCGTATTATTTTCGATACAGCTTAGATGCTGTTGTAGACATTTCCTTTTTGTTTAGTTTGTATATCATCTCGTTGAACGGTTCTAGTTCAAAAATTTGGTCTCTCGTCGATATCTATCCGTGAGAGGAACCGTTTGTTCGTTGCATCGATACAAGTTTTAGACTATTTCCGTGAAAAACGCTGGTTTCAGGAAATGGGTTACAATCAGTCCTGAGGACCTTGTTAAACTTTACAGCATGATATGTGCGCGAAGAAACCTTTTGAAAAAGTTATGCTCCTTTGAAAATGTCTTCAAGTCCTATCTACATTCTTCTTTTCCTGTAGGTAATTCGTTTGGGTTATCTAGTTGATCTAGATTGGAAAACATCTGTAACCTCAGCAGTTTAGGTGGGCTCCATAGGTCGTTATGCCAAGTTGCAAAAGCGAAAAGACCCGTTGGCAAGCTATCCGCCTGAGTTTCGAGCGAAACTTAAGGAATGGCCAAAACTTCTTCAGGCCGAAATCGATGAGAGTGTATCTCATGTAAGGAACTAATTTCTCTGTTGTGCACGTTTCTGGGATACTTAGTACACCTCTTTTTTGCAGCTGAAAGAGCTACGGGAAGTCAGCGATCTCCCTGCTCTCGAAGACCGCGGACTACTACTAGGTAACCTCCGGCTTGTCTCCGATGATCTGCACCCGATCACAGGGCGTACTGTCGTTCTTAGAAGGGCTCCTTCTTTGAATGGACCCGACCGTTCCAAGATTTTTCGTACAGGTACGGAGCATTTCCAATGACAAAGGAAAGATATACTAAACTTAACTTTCAGGTGCCCCTGTTACCATTCGTGATGCTAAAACGTTAAGGGAAATAGCTGAATGTGTAATGTTGGCATCCAGCAGGAAGGAAATCAAGGTTTGTTGCAATATCAAAAAATATTTTGTTGAAACTTTCCAATTGCGATACTCCTCACTATCAGATTAAAATCCGGCCTTCGAGCGGATCAAGACATCTGGATGGTGATACAGAATACATGCTTACAATGTCACAATCAAGCGGAGCTATGCACTCTGTTCAGGATTTCTTTCTGTAGGTTCAACCGCATCGTAATCGTGTTATCTTTTTCTCTTTTTTTTTGTTATTTTTTGACAATCTCAATATTCAGGCAGAATAAAGTGGTCGATACACCTGGTGTAGATTTATTGGGTTACGCTTTTAGAGCCAAGAACATGCCCTCAATACACAATGGTAAGTGTTAAAATGTTTATGAGATGATGTAAGTCGAAATATGGTTCTTTAGATAGGATGATAGCGGACCTATCGGATGAGTTGAATGAAAGTCAACGACGAGCTGTTAGTGCTGCGTTGAACAAGAAACGTCCTTTTGTGACTATTCAAGGCCCACCGGGAACTGGGAAAACGCGAGTAGTAGCTGAAATAGTTCGGCAGTTACTGCGTAGAAAAATGAAGGTTGGGTTTAACATAAAATTCCCTGAAAATTAATTAATTAATTAATGTAATAATGTAATGTAATGTAATTAACGTAATTCTGATTCCCATTTCAGACTCTCGTGTGTGCTCCGTCCAACGTGGCGACTGATAAAGTCATGTCAGAAGTCATTAGGTTATTGGACAGTGAAAAACTTGAAAATATTGATCCAGATGACCTAATGCAAGGTATGAAATTAGAATTATCCCTCTTTTGAAGTAAATTCTGTGGGTATCGGGTAGCGCAATAAAATTTCGTGAGTAACATATAACACAGTTCTTTTAGGCATGATTTCCGATGCGGAAACCATTGAAGAGGCTATAACGTCCAATGATAAGTATCCTGAGCTGTGTGATATGTTCGACAAGATGGTAAGGCGCGTTAGGTTTCTTTTTTACGATTTTTTCACGAATAGTTCCAAGTTTACTGGAGGTTATTTGCATTCTTTTTCGTATAGGCAGGTCAACTCGTAGCTAAGCAAAGTTTTTACATGCGAGGTTTTATTAATTAAATCCGGAAGACAGCAAATGTGCTGGACGCAACAGTAACTAGTGACGTAGCTATGCAAGTCCAAAGCATACCTCTCATACCTTAAAGGAGTCGTGGAGTTACGTGCGAGCTTGAGATTATATTAGTCGTTCGAAGTTGCCTCGTGGTCCTCTCCTTCTATGGTATGAGTGTTTGAAGTAGTAAGAATGCATTCTCCTGGAGGACTGGAGCGGGGGGGGGGGGGGGGGATTATTCAAAGTGCGGTAATTACCCATTGACGTATTCTCTATACAATTTCAGATTTCAATTTGATTTCCAGAAAATCATCGAGCTGGTTCGGAATAATCTATTTTTCAGAATAGCCCAATAGATGAAGAGGACAGAGGAAAGATGAAAAAGGAGGCGAACAAGTTGAAATGGAAAATCATCAAGGTGATTTCTGTGGTCTTATTCAAGTGCATCTGCTTTCTGTTGTTCGGTTGTTATCGTATCGCTTGATTCTCATCTTCGTTTTAGGAATCCTACAAGAAGCGTCTTGCTATTTTCTGCACTTTAACGTCATCAGCAATTCAACGGTTAGCGCAAGTGAGCTGGCATCCGGACGTAATAATCATAGGTATTTATAGTCATTTCAACCTTTTTTGTTATCTTTAGAAACTTAATGGCGAACTGCAACCTAATTTTCTTGCAGATGAAGCGGCGCAAGCGTCGGAACCCGTCGCATGGGCTGCTGTTGTACAAGCCAAGCGCTGTATACTAGCCGGGGATCATGCGCAGCTTCCCTCCACCATCCTCTCTCTCGAGTATGCATTTGATGTTTGAAATTCTCCCCATGTTCCATGACAAGGTTTTCAACTCACATTTCTAGTGCTCGCAAAGGGAATCTTGATGTTTCTTTGATGGAGAGACTCGCGAAGGAGTTCTCTAATACAAATATCAACCAGCTATTGACCGTTCAATATAGGATGAACGAAAAGATTATGCAATGGTCTTCCACGGAGTTTTATGAATCAAGACTTGTAGCTGCCGAAGAAGTGTCACAGATTACCCTGAGGTAGGTTGAACAGCACATACTGTACATGCCCTATAAGGTACTATTTTCTCGTGGTTTAGTGACATATCCTTCATTCCGAGCGATTCTCCGTTGAATATACCACTCCTGATGATAAACACCGATCTTGCAAAGGAAGATGGGAAACATCTATTTAGAGAATTGTCGTCTCAGATGTCATTCAAAAATCCAGGTTAGTGTTTGTGTTCTTGCAAGTGAGCTAAATACTTCTACAATAGGACATGTGTGGCTTTTGATGTGACCTTCTTCGACATGGCTTGTCAGTGCACTCACTTTAATCTCCAAACTCTTGTCATACATTGGTATTGATCTGCGGTATTTGTTTGTGTTGTGTTCCATGCCTCGCACAGCATGATGAAGCAAAATACTTGAAAACCCTTTGTTCAGGTGAAGCTGCACTAGTGATCCGTTATGTAGATGTTCTGAAGTCAATTGGAATCTCAGGAAAGGAGATCGCTGTCATTTCTCCCTATTACGCACAGGTAAGCAAGTTCTACGTTGCTTTTTGTCCTACTATACTGTGTTCGCTTTGCATGTAACGGACTAGCCGCCCAAGGTTGACTTTTCTAGGTGGCGGCGATTCGTAGTATTATAAACGCAACAGATGTATCCGTAAACACCGTAGATTCATTCCAAGGTCAAGAGCGGGAAGTTGTCGTTTTCAGCATGGTTCGGCATAATCCTGAACGTGAGTTTGTTGAAAATGATAATTTTGTTTATATGTTGTAAAAACCTCGAGGCCTACTTCCTGCTATGCCCTTTCGAAGGGGAAATTTGTGCTTATCCATGCGTCCTAGCACTATTCCGATAGACTCGCGCCCATGTAAAATCTCCAAACCTTGTTGAGGATTGTAGGTTGAGAGGTGTTACCCTGAAGGGGAAAAAAGAAACGTTAGAATAGGAAGAAATATTCTGGACCAACCTGCTTTCCCATCTATCATTTCCCCCATGGCTTCTTTTCTATCCACAGTGTGATGGGATTAGCTGTCGCTTCTATTTATAGGGAAGCTGTACTTGGGGTGGAATTCTTCTTTCAGAGGCTAATCAAAGTATTCTTCCCATCTGCGTATTACATCAGCTGGCTTCTTCAGGATGGCACCAACGTCACTTCTAACGGCTCTGACTACTCTGATGTCTTGAGTGGTTCGATGCAGAGATTTGGCCTTTTAGAGTCCCAACTCGAGCCAGCTCCTTTTGGCGAGGTCGTTTCTTTCTCGGTACCCTTCGCATACTTTCACTGAACTCGGGCAGGGGTCCTATGGTCACTTTCGGGTGGCGTCTTAGCTTTATAACTGGCTCCTTTGTGGCTCCAACCCTTTTGCTATGACGAGGGTTCTCCATCAGCCGAGCTGTCAACCTGGCGCTGGTACCCATACTATTTTTGCAGGATATGGTTTGCTTCTCCTGAGCGCAGACATTAGCCGATCCTCTCAAACACCCGTCCATCCCCGCCCTCAAAGAATTTGCACCTGCGCGTCATGTTTTTCTCTGTTTCCAATTCAGCTAAGCGTTCTTGTTGAGCGCTCCCTTTACCACTCTGATTCTTTTTTTCTCAAGCGAAGGCTACTGCTTTCTTGTAAGCGAATTTTATTTGTATCATTTATAGAAGTAATTGGATTTCTGCAAAATGAGCGCCGTCTGAATGTTGCGATTACACGTGCGAAGCGACAATTTGTTCTGATTGGCAGTGCTCGTATGATGAAAAAGAACCGTCATTTGCGTTCACTTTTGAGGTTCGAGATTTTCTTACGTTAGCCTCTCTGATGTATTTTAGAAATGTACTTATTCAGAAATATATTAGGTTGTTTTGAAAGAAATGCACGTTTCAACGCTGTGATTCAATCTTTACTAATAATGGGAAGGCGATTGGTGGTATCTTTGGAGTATGCCATGTACTCGGCAGGGGCAGGAAAGCGAAGTCTGATGGTAGGATGGGTCCCCCAAGTTGCCACTGCTAGCGCTTATCGTTTATCCGCTCTCGCTCTTATTGGCGCGACTGGACGGCTACGGTTTTTTCGTTTCCGAAAGATTCGTCCCATTCGGAAAATGGCGGCACTAGCTGCTGAAGGTCATGTTTCGACCAAACGCGAGGCATAGAGAGCGATGTCAGGAAGCGACTCTCACGTTGGCCATGCTAAGAGCCGCACAGTCGCCCGAATCAATTATGTCACTGGCATCGCTTGCCAGAAATATTTACATTTAAATCAAATTCATTTAAAACAAGGAGAAAACGAGCAAACCTACATAGTGGCTTAAAATAATTTCGAGAACAGACATTACTCAACGCGCATTTCATTCGAAACAATCTAGAATAAGAGGTATCAAAAGTAATTACTATCTGTAGAAAAATGTATGCCGCAAACTTTTACATTGCAGTACAATGCGAAGATGCGGAAAAGTATACGAGCCAGGAATAATGGATGCATTTGAGAAAGGTTGGACAAACATTCCATTTGTTTAGCTCTTCCAGTTTTTTTTTTTTGTTCCAATAATCAGCGTTCTTTTGATCAAAAAACATTGAAAAAGGTGGAAAATACGGTTGTTGACTAAGAATTGGAGCGTGTGGCAATCATTACTAACTTATTCAGTTACCTCGTCCCTCCCAACCTCCTCCGATAAAAAAGTTGCTGTTCAGTCTTGAAAGTGGTGAAGTGAGTATTTAAAAACCAACTTAATTCATTTTTCTCGTTTTTTTTAAATAAATAATGCTGAGAAGATGTGCAACGAAATTCATATTTAATATTTTTCCATTCTAGGCAAGTTACTGGGAGTGTTGGACTTCTGTAAGAAGAGCATTCAGTGTCATGGAATCGTTTGAATTTAGCTTTTATTGCGTATACTAGTCAGGTACTAATTCTAGCATCATATGTTGAATACAGTGCAGGACAACTACGGGTTCAAATTTATCAATAAATATTTTTATTCGGCAATCTTCTTTGATTCGAAATCTGAATTCTTCGTCAGTTCGATTACCTTTTTCGTGCTTGATTATCATACTTTGCTTCAATTTTTGTCGCCTCATCTCAGTCTTTGAAACTCGGTAACATGGATTTGTGTTAGTTCGATAAGATGTTCCCAATGCAGTTGAGGCAGATATTTGCATATTTTTTCGGCTTCTAAAGATAGGAATCCCGCTCTAAACAACCTGCTCGTACTCATATATTCCATATTCCAAGATTGGTGGATTTTCTGCTTTTGACACTTCCCTCCGTGATGGTTATAGAAGTCTGGGGCTGGAATTTAGTGCGAGCCATTTGATTTATCCCTATCATAGACCATCGAAGAAAAAGCCTAACTAAATCCTTTCCTCCCTTCTTATCGAGTCATGGGTGAATCAGTGATCAATTTCCTACTTAGCATGCTCCTTTTGAGTCGCCATGCTGTCATTGTGTGATGTCAACATCTTATCCTCTCCAAATTGTTGCTAACTGTAATAAAGGGAAATAGTGTTCATTTGAACAGGAAATGGGTAAGCCGAGGGGAGCAAGCCGCGATGATGTTTAATTCAATGTTTACTTTGGCCGTTGGACGCAAGCAAGCCCTCCCCTAAAAGCTTTCGAACTTTGGATTGCCAAAAGCCTGCGATAATAGTTAATCGGTGAGAATAGAGCTGGAGGTAGCCAGTCGTTCTTATTTTCTTATCGACGACCTCTCGCCGGGATGAATCCAATTAGTCAAAAAACTATTTCATAACTTTTTGCACGTGATTAGCTTTTCTTCCTCTGGGGAAGTCCTTCTTCATTTGGCTTACTGTCAGGAGAAAATATTTGTTCCACCGGCTCGGAATGAATTTCTTTGCACCATTCCAAACAGGTTTAGTTGGTGTCTCCTCTGCCGCTGCGCTCTGTCTTCAGCGTTAAAGACGCAGGCCACAGTGCAGTGACCTCTCTCTCGACCATTTCGCGGACTGGTCTTTACAGCGAACAAGAAGTAATATGTAAATATTAGAAGTTTTTCGTGGCATTGAACTTCGTAGCCGCTTCACACTTCTACCACCCACAAAATAAAACATACTAATGGCGTAGTAGCGCCAGCTACTCCAGCGATCTTACGGTGGGATTTAGAATCCATGCTAAATATTGGTTTTTGAGTAAGCTATAGCGGGTTGTAAGAACCCAACAATAATACAATGTACCCACGTTCTGTTATAAGCAACCTTCATTTTTTATTGCAAGCCTCAGTGAGCATTTTCTTTTGATAAAGGCGGAGCATTGTTCAAGAAAAGCTTATCCTGGCTTCAACAAGTTTTGGCAAACGCCATGGTTCCAAAGTAATGGGAGGTTGGTTACTTTCTAAATAGCGCTTTCTTTCTATTTTAGAGCTTCACTAAGCTGCGAAACTATCTTTCGTACACCCACCTCAGTCGCGATGCTCTTTTCTGTATATGGTAGTCGTGTGGGCACACCTGAAGTGCGCCCCCAGTCCAGCAAACACTTTTCTATTCTCGGCCTGTAATAGGTCCTTCCTTATCTCAAATTGAACTCGCCCCAATGTTCAAACCCATGGTTCACAATGCTCCCAACAGATGGCGTCCGTTCTTTAAATAGGAACCCTGGGGTTGAAGTTTACAGGTAAACCCCATCGATCTTCAGTCTTTAGACAGGCACTTTCACGTGCAAACCTATCTGTCTGGATCGATAACGCACGCGACGCGACCGCAACGCCGAACCATTTCGCTATCGACCCGCATTCACCACTTCGCCATAGCGTCGACCTCCCCCCGGTTTGGTGTCTTTCACTTGTTTTATGTTTTCTTATTTCTAATCCGCCCATCTTCAACTGAAGTGAGCAGCATGGTCATATTTACGCACAAGCGTGAAACCACTCACTGATTAACCCTGTTTGGATGTTCCTTTTCATGTCAGTGCTTCCATAATAGCAACACCCAGTTGGGAGATGTTCGTGATTGTGTTGTTGTTCACTTTTGGAAGCAATTTCCATATTCAAGAATCCTTGAAGTTTTGCTAATATCATGCAATGAAATGTAGCAATTGATTTATGAAAGATCGGGGATCTTCGATTTCAGAGTGACGAGCCCATTGAATACTGAAGTTCTGAAGAAAGAATAAATTTAAACAAGATAAGCAAGATGTCGGTAATAATTCGCCTGCAATTGTTACCGTTGTCGGCGAATGCTGCCGATGTTCGAGCTTTCTTCTCTGGCCTACGAATTCCTGACGGTGCAGTACATATAGTAGGAGGAGATGACGGAGATGCTTTTATCGGATTCGCCACTGACGAAGATGCAAGACAAGCAATGCGCAGGGATCGCGGACAAATTCACGGAGAGGAGGTTCGTATTACAAGTTACAATTCCAGTCATGTGGAATGGTTTGAAATTGATTCGTTTCATCAAATATAGAAGGCACCGTCAACCTCCCTTATGAAATGCCGATCTCCAATTTAAATAAGCGGAACTGAGATATTGCATCTCACAAATCTCAAGCAACAAGTAGTACCTAATTTGAAATCATAAGTTACGATCAACAGCCTCACGATCATAATGATGCAATGAACTGTCGTCTTTTTGCCTAACAATGGGCACTGAACTTGGCTTATAAAATTAGGTCGAAGGTCTGGGAATACTTCTCTGTTCCGCTTAAAATATTGTATTGTTTTTCTGGAAAGCTTTCCTAAGGGTGATAGCTGAAGGGTCTGGTTGGGGTGTCGGGCTCGTTGATTTAGCTCAAGGGAGAGGGTCAGTGTGGGTTTTTTCCCATGTGCTAGTACGAAACAACGAATCCTATCAGCATCATAATTGGATCGCCAGTGTTTCTCCCCAATCAAGTAGCGTCACGATATTGCTACATTTTGAGAAATTAATTCGTTCTTCTACCACGTCATTCGGTCGCAGCGGAGAGCTCGTGCATAGTTTTCAAGAAAACAACACAAGCGCTGTGGCTGTTATTAGTCTGATAATATAACTCCAAAACGCAAAGGCGACAACTTAAATCCTAAGAACACTTCTGCAAACTCTTGTTACAAAGCCGACATTAATTCAAGTTTCTGGCTTTTAACAATCTGTGGTAATATTACAAAAGTTGCTGTTACATGGACAACGTCGGAATACCTAAACAGACGCGACAAGTTGTGACCTAATCACGTAGTCATGGTTACGTTTTTTAGTCAAGCTTGGCTTGAATTCTTAGGCATATCTGGTCCTGAACACAACAACCTAACAGAAGTGTGAGTGTTCGGAAGAATCTGCGATTGTGGGGGCTTTCAAAGCTGGACGTAAATAATACGTTACTCTCGCGAAGCTGGGACGGAAAACGATTTTTTTTCTATTTGGAAACCGCTTACGCTTAAAGTTCTCATTAGTAATAATCCTTTTAAAGTTGAACTGGGATGTGGACTGTTCAACATAAGCGAACTTTACATTAATAGTTCCTCCATTTCATTAAACATAACTAATATCTGTATTTGTCGAGGCCTCAAAGAAAGTGAATCGAGGACAAGGATGAGGTTTCCAAATCTCCTTTGCATAGCTCTGTCTAGTCCTTGATTTAGTTTTTTCAGGCCCCGATAATTCGTGTTATACTCAGTACAACTGCTCCAACTTAGTTAATCATACATAGGTACCTTCTGGTAAAAAATGATTTTTGTCGAAACGTTGAGGCCTCTCAACCACATTCTGAGTTAATTATACATCATTCAAAACAAAAGAAATTGCACAGAAATTACTAAGNCAAAGTCGCAAATTGGAGTGACAAAACGCTTCACACTTGACAATTTTGAGCGTTTCTTGTGATTGAATTTGATCCTCAGAAAAAAAAAATCAAAAACTAATTACCAAGATAGAGATAGAAATGAAAAAAATGGAACAATTTGAAGAATATTGCTCCTGAAAGGATTGAATAACTGGCTGCTTACAATAGCTGTCATCACATTTGCATCTTTTGTGAATACGTAGTTTTTATCTCCTATATAAACACTACAAGAACACGAACACGGTTTTTTCATCGATACGAATTCCTTTCCTTTCTATCATTGTCATCAGCATCTACTCTTCACCTGCATTCAATAATTGCACCAGCTTGGTTCGCATCGATGACTTAGTTTCAATGCGTTACATTCCATGTTTACTTGTGGAATTTCTGACAACGAATATCGTGAAAAAGATGGAATATCGATTGTATTCTTAAGTAATCAAAAACAGGAAAAGAAGCCCAGAGGAGACACGTTTGTTGCGACAGACATTGCTTTGGCATAAGATATCAAGTTGCTTTTTACCTCAGGTTGCATTTGGTTCTCTATCTTAATTACGGCTTGACTGTAATTTACACATTGTGTGTTATATACGTGCTCCGGATATTTTCTCAGTGGCTGTTGAAGATGTCAAAATCTATTACAGCGATTCGGATACGAAACAGAAAAAAAGATAGCTCTGAAAGCGTTAGTAGACTCGAGGGATTCGGAATGCACTCCACATCATTGGAATAAGTGCTTAAATGCACTCATGTCACTCAAGATTCCTTTGGAAGGTACTCATCATACCGTAGAAGTTGTTAAGAAGTTGGACGTATTCTTTACACTGCTTGGGACTGGAACGTTTTAAGAGCGAAAACGTTGCGAGAGTGGTGCCATATTTAGGCCCGTGTTCTTCTTCGCGAGATTCTTCAATTTCCTGTTACGACCTCACAGTTCATGTGTTTTTTTGAAGTGCGACAAACTGTTGCACACCCAGTTAGTAATATGGGTTGATACCCGGTGTAACACGTGATACACGGACAGATCATAACGTCATCCAAGGTTGAGAGCATCATTCATGGAAACGGGTTTGCACTGAAATTTGAGGTCCGTGAGGATTTAAAAGTTGATGAATAGCATCTGATTATCGCAGACCATCTACGCCGACATTTGTAGTTGGTTAAATTCGTACAGGAATGTATTTTAACCAGAAATACTTATTGACATGACACATTCTCGTATGTGACAGAAATAAGCCACATTTCAAATGATGAAACAAATTCATCACAAAATACATTGTTGGTGCCTAGTCAATTACAGCAGTGAGAAGAGCGTGAGATACGGTCTTCACCACATTTCATGATGTGCTTGTCTGGGCCACAGACTTGCGAAAGTTTTAAGGAATCGGCAGGTTGGAAAAGTAAAGTAGCGTAATATAGGGGTTATGGCAAACGGTTTATGTGGAAATTCTATATCGTAGGATATTTAGGGCTATAAGATTGGATGCTTGTTATATAAGACCAATGATCCTTGGTGATCACTTTGCATTATTAGTTGGTGCACTTATTGCTTTTGACGGACTGATTGTTCATCACTGGACTCATTCTCAAAGTTCGTCGCATCTTCACAGTAACCTTTTGTAACTGCGTTGCTGCCACGGCTTGCTCCACCATTTTGAAAACTCAAGTCAGTGAACATGGTAAAAGTTCTTGACGCTCTACGCAGTACAGTGGAGTGCAGAAATCTGGCCGTGTTGTCTCGGCCTGGGTATCGCTTTCACCATCCATTTATTACATCACCATAAATTCCCACATTTGTTTGCATTTCCCTCATCCCCTCTTATAATTACGCTGTTTTCTTCGCGCGATTGCCCCAATGATTGAGGTACCAAGGCTATTTCATTGCTACTCATTAAAAGCTCCGGTCGTCGCTTCCCTCAGTGGGGGTAGCAATATCTGCTTTCCTGATGCATGTAGGCCGATGATTGAGTAAGGCTCTGATAGACACACCAGTAGAATCTATAACCAAATCACTCCTGTAGATTTTGTCTCCAAAGGCGTCATAGAGTATCCTTAGCGCAGTATCGATCAGAGGACAGCAATGCCCTTTGCTTTCGCCCATGCCTTCACCCAACCCGAAAACGGAATGCAGTCATTCTTACCTGCTTCAGTGAAAAGGTAATATTTTCCCGACCACTTTCCTATCATGTTTTTCGTTCTGATACGTTCATTCTCTTTTTGATTTATTGCCACCTCTTTCATTGCACTACTCATTACTTTAAGACATACTTTTCATTGTTTGTTTCGTGGTCTGTGAATTGTGGAACAAGTCCTTCAAGGTCAATTTGAACAGGGCGTGCGCAAGTGGGAGGGACGGAAAATGGGAGGCAAATCATCACTCTTTAATTAGAAAAAGTTACGACAATGCTGCTGGAGACTATTTTAATTCTGTCCACAAATATTACTATGTGAACTCAAATACTCATGTCGAGATTATAGAAGAGAGGGCAGTAATATAGGTAAAGTACCATCTGCGGACAGACAAACCGTGAAGAAAGAAGCGTGAAGCACAATTGTGCAACAAGTAATTCATTGTGTAGAATGGAATGGAAAGGGAAATGTCTATTCAAATCTGAAGAAGCTTAAAAAGACTACGGCTTTCACATGATACCCAGTGTGGTACCTGTTGTGTTCCTTATATTTAGGTGCTCCATGGAGATAGTGTACACAATTTCTGAAGCATTGTCGAAAAATAGCTGGATAAGTCTACTTCCTGAATATTTGGTTCCTTAAGCTGTTCACCAATCACCAAAAGAGTGTGCGAGCTTAAATCGATGCATTGTTCTGCATCAATCACGTCTGGCATTTTCCACGCTCGAGCATCAGATTGGGCAACGAATTTTGGTTGATGCATCGACAGCGGAGCCAAATTTACTTCACTCGCTTCGTCCTTCAAGGGTTTTCTTATACTAAAAGTTGTTTTACTCTAGATTTTCTCTTTTACATCCGCATTCATCTTGCATGCACAAACTGCGTTGGTCGAGTAGAGAAGAGTAGAATAGAATACTCGAACCCACTATTTAGAAAGTCAAAGTGGGTTAACTTCCTCATTTTTTATCTTCTATGTTGAGTTTGTCGCTCGAGTAAGGCGGTAATCTTTGATTCGACATAAACCTAGTTTATGGGTTGCAATTTCTTGCAAGTTTCACTTAGTTTTCAACATATGATGCGCTTAGTTTGGGCTTCACTGGTAGAAGGTAACTCGGTGAGGGTAGTTGTAATGAGCTGTGCACCACCTAATGGTTCCCTGGTAACGAAACCGAATTTGCTTTCCATAATACTCGGAACTATAGGAGCAGTAACAACGACTCTAGATGCAGGGAACGGGTTGATGTCTGAGTAGCCCAAACACTAATAGGTGAAGTATGTGCACTTTATTTTCTTTCTTAAAGTTCTTTTTTTTTCAGTTCTCGACAATGCATCAGTGTTTTCTGTGTTTTAAAGAAATATTTACATTGAAAACAACATCTCTTCCAAATCAGCGTTTTCGTAGAACACCGAACTGGCTTGAGATGTTCGTTCTCGAATGTTTTTGATCCTCTTTCTCAACTTTTTTGATGTTTCGGCCGTGGGCTGTGGGAGGTTGAATAGAACGGTTAAGGGACCATCTAGATTGACGTATATTCCTATCAGCTTTCCATTTCTAGCATTTCCTCCTTGGACTGGCATGCTGTTTTTATTCCATTGCTCTCTTCCCCCATGTCGTTCGTTATGACTCTTTGAAGAGTCTTTGAAGAGTGGTGTGTGAGTGGCCAGTATCTTCTATTGAGTATATCGAAGTGCGCGGTATTTTGCGAACTGGTTCCTTAGATGGTCTTGGTAATTTTTGCTGCGTTAACTTCAGTCCTCCAATTTCTCTGCCATTGCGCATCTTCCAAAATGAGAAGTAAACTTTGGTATCACATAACTGTCGTTATTTGTTGGTGTGTTGCATTTGTAGTGTTTTAAGGATACCTTTACGTACATGAACGGGCTTACGTCCAGATTTAACTGGTCAGGTTTTGAAAATGTAAGCCTCAGCCCCGACTTATGATTCAATCACTAAACTCGCCATAAGGAGCAATCTGCTCATTAATCCTTGATCACATCCACGATTCCGATTTCATTATTGTCTCGTTCTCCGTAATTGACGGCAAGGTAACCGTATCTCTCTGTCTCTGTGACTCTCTGTTCCTTTACGTTTACTGTGGCATAGTATCCGCAGCGAAGAAAGTCTGGGAAATACAACATCAAGCAGAATATTTTCCAGCCCTCCAAACATTACCCTTTTGAGGGAAGGATACTTGGTCGCTGTGGTTTTTTAGATGGGATGTATACCGCCGTGAGCAGTTTCGAACGCTGATCTTAAATCTGTGTTCCAAATCTGTAAACGGTTCTGAAAACAAAGTTCTGAATCCTCTTTGCTATACCATGTACCGAACGCATCACCGAATCGAGCAAAGCTGAGCTGTGCAACGGCGGCGTTTGGTAGGATGGTGGACTAGTAGACATGACATCAATGTTCGACTCCTTGATGAATGCGCCTGTTTTTTTTTTGTTGTTTCATTTCATGAGAAACGTTTGAACTCTTACAAAACCTTTTGTGCTCGATATGGGCTATTTACATAACTCCTCCACATTCAAGGAGCACTGAAATGGTACTACAAGAGAAGTTTTTCTCACCATTAACCAGCCGAATAAGGGTATAGCTCCATAGAAGCGAAGAAGGGATTCTGAACATCTGCTCGAAAAGGGCTTCAGAAATTTTAGAGAAAGGTGCTAGATGATTCATTGGGTCGAAACGTTCTCTATCGTGTCACCAGCGAAGTATTCTGCCCAAAGATGGTGTCATAATACCTGTTGGAGGACTTCCGACTTGCAGCGTAACGTATGCCTTCTACGAAAAAGGAAGTTAGTAAAGAGCTTCTCAACCATACCTTTCTGTGCTACGTAAACAAGCTCGTTATCCACTGCGAGGAAGACGAGTCTGTAGAAGCCGATCACAATGATTCTTTGTTGTCGCCTGATGATAACAGCGACGATGGAGCCATCACATCGCGAAAGGAGCCTCGCAGTTTTTAGGGGTTCCAAGGTGATCTGGCCCATGAGTTTCGTTTAGTGCTGGTAGAAGAGTTCATAACCTTCTACAGTTCGGGCCAAAAGAAGCCACACGTCCTCGTGGTGAAAAACAACTCTTGTCTAACCGCATTAACACGTTGACGACAATATCGCGCAATGGTGCGCGACCGCCAGTCTGTCTCATGGGACGATGTCGCGCAATGTTGCGCGACGGTGCATTCTTCGATTAAAACATGTGTCTCGTTCCGTTTTTTGTGCAGATTTTCAATTAGGGCTTATAAGTGTCTAAAATAGCTCCGGCCACCTACTAAATTAACTCCAAGACAAACATTTCATTTTTATTAGTAACTAACAATCACGAATTGTTTGGAAACAATCTAGGCAACAAACTGATTACATTTACTGCATTTTGACTCAGTCCTCTTGGCCAGGCTCCTCGCTGTCGACCTGCCTTATGTTGCAGAGATCGAACTATAGCAGTCGGAGCAAAATCGTCCGTCCTTAGCCTTCGCATTTTGATCAGACACCAGCTTCCGCTTGCGTGTTCCCGAACTGCTTGTCGGCGTGTCGTTGAAGTTCTTGTTCAGCAAGTCGTCCTTCTCCTTCATCGTAGTCGTCATCTGAGATTTCAGTGTAAGGAACAACCGCAGGAGCCATATTGTCACCATTAAACCACCTGCAGCATCATCGCCGCTGTCGAGCAGAAAGTTGTCAAAAATTCCGTTGAAGTTTTCCATTTCAATATCCGGGACCCTCATTATGACAAAAATAGTCCCAAGGATAATAATACTCTCATAGTTCCTATTTATATACCCCAAATTCAAAATTATCACCGCCAAATTTGAAATTACCCCGAGTAGCTACATTGTTGGGCAATTTGAATACTGCTGGAAGGTTTGCGAAATATTCTCTCGTACCGTTTGTCTTCAAATATTTCTGACTGTAATCACTCAATTTTTAAGAAGTAACAAATTTCCAAGAAAGAAACCGTCTCGTCCCACGGGACAGACACGAAAAAATTGGCTCGTCGTCAACGTGTTAACCACATTTACCTTGAGAAAAGGTTGCTACAATAAGTGGATTCTCATATATGCACATAGATCGTTCAAATATTGTTTCACAGTATTGTCATGAAAACTTGCCTATTAACTTGTACCAATGCTTCGAAAGTCAGTCAGTATCCCACGAATGTGAGGACTGTATTCCTTTTAACCCTTTGACGACAGCGCGGCTCAACGGTGGACCGCACCCTTCTCATCGGTTGTTTTTCTCGATTTTTAGTCTTACTTAGTTTTTTGTATTTAATAGAATTGCAATCACCAAATAACGCTATACACAAAGTGGGCTCGGAAAAACATTGCTAATTCCTGAAAACTACCAACAAATTCAATTCTCTTCCTGGAAATCACACTCCTTGTCCATTTTTTGAAAACAATCAATGTAAAAATGATTTTCACATCTACTGCCCCTAGAATTGACTCGTCTTGTGGGAACGCAAACACTTCTGTAAGCTCGAGTTAGTTCTTTGAAAGAAATTTCTCAAGCTTGCCCTCCTTTTGAATGCCTCGACTTTATTAGTATTCCTGTATTCCTTTTCACCTTTTCGAGTGTCGGACAAGTGGGTGCAATGTTCCAATAAGTCATTCACTAGTTATCGGTATAGAGATGCATACCCATTGATTCAAGAAACCGTCCATTAGTCCTGAATGCAGCAAATATAGCTGCTGAGTCCTTGCTTGCGGGCTGCCTACCGAAGTAAATCTTGCATCTAAATCGTAAGTAAATCTTAGCCCCCCTCCCATCTTCAGAGAATAATTTGAAAAGTTTTATTCTTTAGTTCTATTTTCGTCGGGTTCGACCAACAAATTTTCAAAACCACCCTCTAAATCGTCCACTGCAGGTTGATCCATTTCGACTCCCTAAGTTATATTATGCATAAAACCAGACCTTACTAAAGTTGACAACTCATAACTATCGTATTTACACCTATCTCAGACTTTATCATGAAAAAACCCTTGAAAAAAAAAAGCAAAAACTGTCCACACTAGAAAATGTATCAACCGTGGGACAGCGCGGCTCAACGGTGAGCCGCAGAAGCGGAAGGTTTCGGAATGCGTCTGTCCCACGCGCCAGACACGCAAAAAGGCGCGTTGTCGTCAAAGGGTTAATGTGTTCTGGTCAGATGAGTCATTCGACCGCCCTCTACCGTATAGCAGCGGGGGCCGAAAATTACGAAACGCTACTTCTAGTAACCTTGGAGATCTCTCTGAAGCCATGACCAAGATGATACAAAGTTTTATTCGGCTAACGTTTCGGCCAATCACCATCGTCGGAGCCTTAGATGTCACAAGAAGACCGAGAGAACGATCACCACCGTAGCAGCTGCGTCACCATTGCACGGCCAGGCTCTGCTCGGATTGTGATCTGTTCTGTAGTGGTGTAACACAGGGTGGAAATAGTCCCGTAACTTTGTACCCAGAATCGTATAGCAGATTCGGAGCACGGATTTGAGATCAACGTCCAAAACATCTACGGCGGTGTACATCTCATCTTGAATGGCCACTGCGACCAAGTAACCTTCCTTTGTAATTGCTCCGTCAAACAGCTTCATTTTAATCTTTTGAAAGAAAAACACTAGTCTCAATCGGAGGGCGTTCGGACTATACATAGCAAACACCAAAATTTGAGGTGAGCTGGTCTTAGCGAAGTATATGTGTGAATCACTGAATGGAGATTGAGTGTTCGAACGACGGAGCGTTCTACTGGTTGTTTCCTTTTGTGCAGCGATCTCCGGTGAGATTGCTTTATCAGTGAAAAACGTTTTTGAAACGCATAAGGCGATTTCTGGAGGCGATTCACGTCTTGACATCGGCCACTAAGTCATCCATTCCGTTGAAAGTACCGTTCGCTAGTCAATTTTTAAACGGACAATTGACGTGATTATTCATTGGAATTCTGTTGGTGAACAGGGTGGATGCAGCAGCAGATTCCATTCTTCACTTGGATTTGGCTGACTGTTCCGTCGCCAAAAGACTTCCTAGACACATTCCTGTTAAGGAAAACGAGATTACTTCGATAAAAATACCGAATTCGATATTCGAATTGTATCGAGAGAAAGGAAGCCTCGAAAAGTTTGTAAGAATTATGCATCAACCTATTAGATATGTTGGCAAAGATGTTCAACATTTCCAAAAATTTCAACACATTTCTATGAGATCCTATCAGACACGAGACCACGTTTGCTAGTCTACAGAATTCGCATCTTTCTTAGCGAAGCACGCCAAAAAGGATGCGAATTGTTCTTATGAACACAGTAAAACTTCTCTGCAGATGAAATTGTAGTGAAAGTTTTCCAATTTGGATTCTGAGGTGAACTCGTCAGAGTTGACTGTTTGAGCGGAGATCTCTCGAGAAATACCAATCCTTTAAGACCTGATATTTCTTGGGAAGTCAGTTTAACCCATTGACGACCATGCAGTCCACATGTGGACTGCAGTTGTATATTTTATTTATTGCCACTTATCGCCACTTAAGTTAAACTATATACTGTGTGGTCCCAAGAAAGCTTCTAATTTTGCAATTAACAGATAATAACAAAATAAGCATAGACATCATACATACTTATATTTTAGCCTTTGGTTTCCAGGGTGTATCTACCTTCCGCACTAATTTAGACAGTTTTACACCACACCGGTGTCTTTTTGAAGAAACATGTGACCCTTTCAATGATTTCTTTTTTTGAAAAGAATTGGTGATTGAGGAAGTTCTCTTCATCAGAATCCATCACTAGCTGACTAAAATTGAAGTGCCACCTACCATCATCGTTAGTCATATCCTAAATTTGCAAACTCAGAAAAATTAAACAAGTTCCAGTTCAAAATTAAAGAAATTGGCCGTGCGGGACCATGCAGTCCACATGTGGACTGCAGTGATGGTCGTCAATGGGTTAAGTATCTTTGGGAGTGGCCACATCATTGGTTGGAATAGCATTAGATGCCTAGTTCGCGATAATTTTAGGTACCTTTCTTGGGTTAGAGAGTGAGAATGAGTAGTGCGTTAGTGGCAATGAAGGAAATTAATACAAGAGAATGGAAAATTGTCGATGCTAGATTGGATCATTTCTAGGATTGTTGGAGTTTAGACGTCGAAAAGGCTGCTTGGACAAAATGCCCGTAGCGCCTAGGAAAACTGGCTGATAAGATTAACGTGCTCGGCACTTCCTTGCGTGACGTGGTTCCAACTTCGACACAACGTGTCGTTTAGGTCTCTATGAAAATCATCTGAATCATTTTTGTTGCGAGCAAATTTAGTAGACAAACTTAGCTTTTTCATACGTCGTTGACACAAAAATGCGGAAAACTAAATGCATCACTATTGAGGAATGAATACATACATCAGGGAATAATGTCTGTATATAATCATACACTGAGTAATAAATAAAATTTCCGGCGAGTAAAAGCTCGCCGGAAGGGTAAGCTTGTATACAAAGAGAAGAATTCTGTTAGCAGAAGAGAAAGCGAAATCTTAATGGTTACCATGGAAAATGAAGATCTTCCTTTCGAACTCTCGCTAAGGTCGTGTCTGCTCGGAACGGCAACAGAAGGTCCTGGGAAGACCATGTTGGATTGCTTACCAGTTGAATTAACCAAGGTGCCACAGGTCTGGCTGCAGAGGAGGAAGAGTGGAAGCAGAACAAGACGTGTTGGGTGGGCTTTCCATGTAGCAAATTGAGGAATTGGAAGAAGAAGGCGCTGATCTGTAGAAAAGTAACGAGCTAGACCGCTGCAGCAATGAATTCAGATGTATGTGCGCGGGAATTTATTTTATCTGCGAAGTCTTCCACTATTCGAACGCAATCAACAAAGTTGCGGTGTGATGCGCCGCGCGTAACATGTGCGGTGTGGCCCAATTTGTCCACAATATTATCGACCCATCTCCTTACATGCCAACCAACCACTTTTTAGGGGCGCAGATTTAGCGAGACTGTATGGTAGCAGTGGGACTAAAGGAATATGATTTATTCGGCAAACACATTTCTTGGTATGCAGACCTAGGTCTAACGAAGACTAATCGGAAAAAAAGGTTGTCTAGAGTCCCTGATGAACGCTCTCACCATGCGATGTCAGCTCCAGTTCGTCAGCACATTCGAACCGAGTGCATCACATGGTGATGCACTCATATACTTGCCCGCGTGGCCACGTGCATCACGTGGTGATGCATGAAATTCACATTCAAAGTTCCACTTTCTTTATGAAGCAATACTAGTCAAAATTTGCATTCAAATGTTTTCGAACATGCTGAACAACATAACTGCTTGGGACTCCAACAGCTGAGTAAATATGGAGCGTCCATACCTCATAATATTAACCATGAATCTAACGCTACTAACAAGTTTTATTGTAACATTTCTTTTCTATTCTTATAAACTATGAACTTATGAACCATCGGGAGCTCCCAAAAAATCTTCATTGTC